TGGAGCCTCTGAAGCCCTCCTCTGGAGGTGAGCAGCTCCCTTTTCTCCGCCTCTCTCTCTCCAGACATCTCTCCTCAGGGTTCATCAGGCCCAGTAGCAGCTGGAGAGAAATGAGGGGTCTGGGGGACCCCATAGTTTGGCCACAGCTGATCGCTCTCCTCCAGGGAACAGGAGGCTCCTTGGAGGGGCACTGCAGCATGAAGGCATAAAAAGAGACTTAGGGTGGAGGAGGAAATGGCTGATTCTGCCCTCTTGGATGTAGAAACCTCCTTGCCACACACGTCCTGTCCTGGGCTGGATCCAGTTTCTTGAACTGCAGCTCCCAGAGCTGCACTGGCCTTGCCCTCGCCTCACTCTGGGTGGAGGCAGTGCAGCACCCACACATCATTCCCATCACTCCCTTTCTGCCAGGGCTGCCTGCGTGGCTCCAGCTCCAGCACACGGCCCTGGCTGTCAGGGTGATGGAGCCAGCCCAGCTGAGCGTTCCCTGGCACAGGTGCTCAGGGGAAATGGCTTCTTCAGCAGCTGGAGTGATCTCCACTGCCTTCACATTTGAAATAATTCGTTCAGTTTTGCAATTCTTGTTCATGTGAAGAGTGGTGGAGGCAGGGTGGACAAGGGATGAACAGAAACCCTCAAACTTTCAATTTCTTTTCCATTTAATTTTAAAAAATTAATTCCATATCCCAAACACAAACTGGAGGAAAATCAGTTTTTAAAGTCTTCCTTTCTTGCAGGCCCAACACACTGCAGCAGCATCCTCTAGGCTGTGTATGCCTGTGCCTGTGGCCCTGCAGGCTGGTGGGAAGGTCCCTGCTGCCTCTGAGGGATGAGGTTTCTGTGCAGGGCTGCTCCAGCTGAGCTCAGGTGAGGGTCTTGCCTCTGCACACCCACCACTGTGCCCTGATGTGTTTCAGTCTCACCTTTTCTTTTCTCTGCACAACTGCTCATGTTCCTGGGGTGAGCCAGGGAAACACTGAGCAGCTGGTGCTGCCAAAGCACAACAGTGCCAGAACCTGCCAGGAGCCAGAGCTCTGGGACAGCAGCAGAGATGGTTGTGGTGCACAGAAACCCAGGTCTTGATCCAAGGCATAGCCACACTGCCCAGTCCTGCCTGCTGTAACCCAGAAAGCCCCAGCACACAGAGGCAAGTCTGTGCTTTTTCAGTGAGGTAAGACATGCTGACCAGATAATGGGGTTCTCATGGACGCACAGCATGTGGATATACTAAGCCTGTAATTTTGGTACAATAATTGTCAGTAAATTATTGATGCTGTGGCATAAGGTTGAAGCTAAGGAGCCTGATTCTCATTTCACACGATTTCTCCAAAGACTGCAGTGGAGAAAGTGCCCCTTCCAGAGGAGGACACAGTGGGATGCTGTTCTGTGCACACCTGGAAACTGGCCTCATGCTAGCCATGGCATTTGCTCATGCTGCACATCTGCAGCCTCTGCTGCTGGGGGTGTACAGGGAAAAGGTTGGAGAATTCCCACAGCCCGTGCATTGTGAGAAGGATGCTCTGTGCTGGGAGGATTTCTTCAGTCTGCTGCCAGTGCAAGAAGTGAGCAGCCGTCCACTGAGCTTCAGTTAGCACTTGACAACTGCCTCAATTTGTCTCTGTGATCAAAACAGCAGCGCAGGGAACTGCAGCTGTGAGTGGCAGGTATGTCTGAGGGGTTGTGTCAGATCTCTTCCACCTGCTGCTCTACCTGTCAAATCTAAATGTAATTTACTGTGATACAGGCACAGTGTCACCCAGGAGGCACAGCATTCCTGGTACGTGTGATGCAGGTGGGACATCTTGTCTGCGTCCTCCTCACTGTGCATCCTTACACGCTGCAGACATGGATGAAGAAAACGCAGAACAGAGGCAGCAAGAACCTTTCTCTTTAGTTCCCAGCAAATCCAGGTAGATGGATTGAGGTCAACACCTGCTCTAGAGCCAGGATACCAAGCTGTAGAGCCCTGAAAGCGTGTGTGGGTCCTGGCACCCCATGGGGGCTGACTGTATCCCCACAGCTGCTTCCCAGAGCCCTTACCCTGGCCTGTAGCTGGGGGACAGGGAGCAGGGGAGCTCGAGGAGCACGGGCAGCACCAGCAGAACAGAAGAGGGGGATGGGGGCACCAGGTCAGGGCCAGAGCTTGAATGGGAACCTCAGGTGTGAGCACCTCACCTGTGGTGTGGAGCCACCCCATGTTGGCAGCCAGCCCCTGGCCACCAGAGGGGTCTCAGGAAGCCCTGCCCTGCAAGGTAAGGCTTTTGTGGGCCTGAGCCTCTGGGGTTCTGTCCTGAGAGAGCCCTGGGAGCTGGCACAGGCAGCTGCCTGCTGTCAAGAAAACTGCTGCCAGTTTTTTTTTTATCTTCTGCCTGGTCATTGTTAAAATGCCCTTGAGAGCAGAGGAGGGGGACTGCTTAGCCTTTGTAGAAATAAAAGGACAAGGAACAAAGGGCCAGGCAGGGGAGCTGGCACTGCTCCTACTGTGGCACATCCTCCTCAACCCCTTTCAGGGGATCAGGGGGGACTGCAGGAGACTGGAAAAAACAGGACAGCAGCTTGCAGGGAGGTGCAGAGCTGCTGGAAAGCTGAGTGTCTGGCAGAGAGAGAATGAGAACAGTTACCTCCGTGGCCTGAGCCTACCTCTGGCTGTAAATCACAAGTCAGCACCATTCAGAAAGGCCCTTGGCCATGTGCTTATGGGCAGCAAAAGCTCACATTTGGAGAGCTTGCTGGAAAATGGGCTAGAGCAGTGAGCACCAACCCCACTGGGAAAAATAGTTTTCTCTAGCTAATGCTTCCTTGCTGTTCTACACCAGTGTCCTGTCCCCAGTGGGCAGCTGCTGTGATGTGCTGGGGATCCCAGGTCTGCAAGCTCAGAGTGTGCCAGCTGCAAATGCCCAGCCCATGCCCGCACACCAGCACCTCCCTGGATGCTCCCCAAAATACCTTCACTCCCACCAATTCCAGAGCAGCAGCAAGCCAGGACTGACCTTAACCCTGCTGCTTCAATACAGCGAGAAAACCACCCCAGTGAGAAAACTACCCCAGCAGTGATGCCTGGAAAAGGCATGAGCAGGACACAAAGTGAAGTGGGTAAGGATTTACAGGGAAAATGTTAGTGAGTGAGCTGATAAGAAAAAACTGACTCAGAAACATGAAAGAAAGTAAGGCAGAAAGAGCATCCTGCCCAACCAGAGAGACCTGCCACTGTGCGGAAATGTCCCTGTCCTGTCCAATCTGCTCCAGAGCTTCACAAAGCTGGAGCAGTCTCACAGAAGAGGAATCTGACTTTCCAAACCTACTGCATTCATTGAGGATCACCTCCTGAACTCTGGGGTTGATAGAGGCTCCCTTTGGACCAGCATGTTTCATCCACCACAAGAGGCTGACAACTGTGAATATAAATCACTGAAAGAAGGAAGTCTAGGAAAGCTCCTAGGAAGACCCATAGAAGATAGAGGATTGTTTTGTCTGCGTCTTTCTAATCTGGGGTGTGGGAAATGCCCACACATGAGGAAGGCACATCTGTATTTCTCGGAGCTGACCAACAGCAAGCAAAGGGTAAAGCTAGACTGTGCTCCTGTCGTGCAAGTGGACTTGAGTCTCCTCCGTGTTGCCACTGCAGCCACCCCAACACCCATAAATCTGCCACACAGCAGAGCCACGACGTGCAGCCTGCCCCAGCTCTGCCCTCCTGCCTCCTTTCCTGTCTTTGTGCTCCTCTTCCTGAGCAGTCCCAGAGCTGTCAGTCTCAGCCGCAGTCATGCAGAGCTCTTGCAGCCCAGCTCAGCAGGCCATGCTGGGGCTCCTGCGGCCAGCAAAGCCCTTGGAGATGCCAGGGTTTGCTGATCCATGGGCCAGGCAGAGCTGTCACGGCGCTGGGAGCGCCCTGCCCTGCACAGGCACTGTGCTGGGTTTTGCTTGGCTTGGGAATGACACAGAAATTTCCCAGCACACTGATTATCCTCCAGGTGGTTTGTGTTTTATTTTTGACCACGGATTTTTTTCTGGTTCGAGGGCTCTTTGTTTTGCTAGCTTGAGCAGGCACCCTGCAGAGGCTGCGGGTACTTAGGGATGGGTTCACCAAGACCAGAGAGCTGAGGTGTGGATTGTACCGTGATCTGCACACACAAAATGGCACCGAATCGGCATTGCCGATGGTGAGTGTGCTATGTGGGACCGAACAGGGATTCGAGCACTGAGCTCACGGAGGAGGCTGATGTCTGCTGGCAGAAAGAGAGGATGGATTCAGCGATCTGTCAGCACACGCTGCCTAATTTATTTTTCTTTAGTTGCAAGACTAGAACTCTGCTCCTCCCTCCGACCTGTGTGTAGCCCGTGCTTCCTCCCTGTCGCCCGCAGCCATCGCAGGGCGGCGGGCAGAGCCATGGCCACTGAACTCCCCGCAAGTGTCAGGATTTCCGCACTGTAAATTGTAGAAGCAACTCAGGGAAATGATGCTCCAGCAAAATTGCCATTTCAACCATGTCCCCAGGAAGGACGCAAGCAGCGCGTTCGTTCGAAAGAAATCATTTAGCTGAAAAAAAAAAAAAAAAATAAAAAAGGCAAGGAATACAAAAGACAAAAAAGGCGGCGTGGAGGAGAAGATGGTCCGGGGCGGCAGGGGCCGGGTCCGGCTCGGGGAGCGGGCCCGGGGCCGGGGCGGGGGCTGCCCGGGAGCGCCGCCACGCCCGCCGCCGCCGCCGCCGCCTCTCCGCGCTGCCCCGCCCGAGCCGCTCCGCCCCCGGCCGCGCCCAGGCTCTGCCGCCGCCGCTCCCGCAGCCGCTCTCGCCGCTCCGCACCGCCATGTCCGCCGAGCCGGCCCCGGCCTCCGCCGCCCCCGAGCCGGCCCCCGGCCCCGAGCCGCCGACGGGCGGCAAGGAAGCGGCCGAGCACCGGGCGCTGGTGCTGACGGGGTACGGCGGCTACGACAAGTTGAAGGTGCAGGCGCGGCGCGCCGCTGACCCGCGGCCCGGGGAGGTCTCGGTGAGCGTCCGCGCCTGCGGCCTCAATTTCGCCGACGTGATGGCGCGGCAGGGCCTGTACGACCGGCTGCCGCCGCCGCCCATCTGCCCCGGCATGGAGTGCGCCGGCACCGTCCGCGCCCTCGGCGACGGCGTCCGCGACCGACAGGTGAGGGCTGCCCGCAGCGATGGCCCCGAACGGCCCCGCCCCTGCCCGGTCCGGTGCCCGCCGCTCCCCCGGGGCGCTGGTGGCCGTCCCGGGGCCGGGACTCCCCGTCGCGGGGCGGCCCGGTCGGACAAAGGCCATGGACAAAGGGGCAGGGCGGGCAGGAATCCCCGGTCCAGCCCTGCTGCTCCGGGACCACGGGAGCGCTGCGGCCCGGCGGGCCGGGCTGAGGGGTCGGAGCCGCGGGAGGAGCTGGAGATAGCCGTGTGCCTTAGATTCAGGATGCTTTCCTAAGTTTGGCCGTGCATTTTCCAAGATTGATGCTACTAAACGTTTCCCAAAGGCTCCTGCCTCTTGGCAGGGTGATTCTTACAAGGAGCAGCAGTGATATTTTTTGGTATTTAGACTTCTGCTCCCAGCTTGAGCAAGGAGGGCAGGACATGGTCCTCATCCCTCTTGCCCTGTTGGGGATCCAGCATGGATCCAGTGGTTGGTTTGGGCAACCACAGTTTGGGTTTGGGTACCACTACAAAGCCAGAGCCTGGAGTGCCTGTGGTCTCTCTGAGGTTCCTGCTGTGTGCCCAGGTGTGTGGTGAGAGGTGCTGTGCTGCAGGCTCCGGGTGAGGAAGGAGCAGGCTGTGATCTCCTGCCTGAGTCCAGGAGTGCTGCAATCCCTGCAGACCTTTGCACAGAGAACAATGTGCATTCACTAGCTCTGACATAGCAAGGGCATGATGGCTTCTGCTAGCCTTGGGGGCTTCTTTCAAACCACTTTGTCCTCTGATTTTAGGTTGGCGATAAGGTAATGATCCTGGCTAGGTCTGGGCTCTGGCAAGAAGTTGTGAATGTGCCAGCCAGTCACACTTTCCCAATGCCTGAGGGGATGAGCTTCGAGGAAGCTGCTGCTCTTCTTGTTAACTACATCACTGCCTACATGGTTCTGTTTGACTTTGGAAACCTGAGACCCAACCAGAGTGTCCTCATCCACATGGCTGCAGGTAAATAGTTCTTGCCAGACCATGCTGAGACTCTTGGTTTCACCATGTAGTTTCTGAATAAGTGACACGGGTGAGGAAATGATCTGAATGGGGCTTGACTGACAAAATGTCACCTAGCAGAGATGCAGGCTTCATGCTGACACCGTTTCCCAGCAGCTGGGGTCAGTCTCTCCCAGTGTGTCCCAGGCATCAACCTCACCAGGCAGAGCCTCTATTCCCCAGGCTGCTGTGTGATTGGTCCAGGCAGGGTTAATTTACCTATTCAGAGATTCTTCTGACTGCTGGGGCTGTTTGCTTCTAAATCTTTCTCATTGCTGATTTTCAGGTGGTGTGGGAACTGCTGCCATCCAGCTGTGCAAGACTGTAGAAAACGTCACCATTTTTGGCACAGCATCTGCCTCCAAGCACAATTTTCTCAAGGAGAGTGGAGTTGCTCACCCCATTGACTACAGAACGATGGATTACGCAGAGGAGATCCGGAAAATCTCTCCCAAAGGTATAATGTGGTGGAGGACTTCTGCAACTGTCTTGCATTTCTTTCAATTGCAAAGAAACTTACATTTACTTCCAATTCCTTCTCTAGGTGTTGACATTGTCCTGGACCCTCTGGGAGGATCTGATACGTCCAAAGCTTTTAACTTGCTGAAGCCGATGGGCAAACTCATCACTTACGGTGAGTGTGAGCCAGCTGCCCAAACCCAGGGACTGTGTGATGGTGGAATGGGATCCACACAGGAATGCTCCATGTCTGGGTCAGCATGGCTGTCAGGAACCATCACAATTCCTCACTGCACTGTGTGTTGTAGTTCTGTTTGTTTCATTAAGGTCTTCAGGATCCTTTGGCTTGGTGAGACATGAGGGGAGTGAGATTTGTGTCTTGTTCCCAGAGCTGTGTTCAGAGCCTCCAAGGCTCTTCCCTGCCATGGTGAAATCTCTCTTGGAGTAAAAGCTGGTGCCTGCAGGGGAAGCTGGAATGTCCTCAGGGAGGAATACTGGCATAGCTGCTTTGTCTAGGCTGAGTTAATGCACAGCCTTGCTTTTCTTTTAGAGGATGTGTGGGAGATGAGGTTTGAGGCTACTGAATACTTATCTCTCCATTCCCCAGCCCTGGAACACTGTGATTTTGTCCCATAGACAAAGCCCTCACACAACCCCCAGTGGGATTCCAGACACTTGCACCAGTGTGCTGCTTTGGTTGTCCCAGCCACTGCAGTGTGTGATTCCCCTGAAGAAGCAGGGCTGTAGGAGAAGGGGAAAGCTGTCCTGCCAGCCTGGCTGGATGTCACTTGTAACCCTTTCCTACCTCTGCCAGCACTCCAGTCTAGCTGCACTGCTGTTGCCTTAGGAGGGCCAAAGAGAGTAGTTGTTCTGCATTTTTGCCATAGGAGTGTTGATAATCCAAGTTCTGCATATCTTGAGGCTGAGTCAGGTACCTGTTTCCGTTGCAGGTCGACTGGGCAGGTTCTGCTGTGGTTCAGTTCTCAGCTCTGCCCTCACTCTGTTGAGTGGCTGTTACCCCTGTGCATGGTCTGAGCTGTTCCACGGGATGCCCATTGCCTCTGGTGTTGTGTTCCAGCTTATCTGTGGCTTGCTTTCTTTTCAGGTGCAGCAAACCTGGTCACTGGGCAGAAGAGGAACCTCATGGCTATGGCTAAAACCTGGTGGAACCAGTTCAGCATCACAGCCTTGCAGCTCCTAAGCCAGAACAAGGCTGTGTGTGGCTACCACCTTGGCTATATGGATGAAGAAGATGAGCTTGTTGGAAGCGTTGTAGCCAAGCTGGTTGACCTGTACAGTCAAGGCAAAATCAAGCCTAAAATCGATTCTGTATGGCCCTTTGATCAGGTGAGTCTGGGCTCACATACAGGCTGGCAGTGGTACAGAGTGAGCACCTTCTTCATGGGGCCTGAACTGTTAAAAATGTCTAATAACCATCTGTTCTCAGACATTCAGTGCCTTATTCCTTTTAAAATATTAAGGCTGAGCAAAGTGGCTGGGTTCTTCTGCTCCAATGCACAGGGCTGGGCAATGCCAGACAGTGTCCCTGTGGAGCAGGGCAGGTGCTCAGCTGTGCTCCATGGGCAGCAGCAGCCAGGAGGGGGCTGGGTTCTACATCACACTACAGTATGCCCTGAGTAGTCTGTGCCCTGTAATTAAGCAGACAGATGGGAAGGTTGTTGCTGCCCTTCCAAGAGTGCAAAAGAGCCCAGGCAGTGAAGCAGAATGAGGATATTAGAAGGGAGCAGCAGGTTTTTCACTAGCTCTGCTCTGCTCGGGGTTATTGCATTGATGTGTCCAGGCAGAGTCAGGCTCCTCCCTTGGGAGTCCTGTGCTGGGGCGGGGTTTGCTGCAGGGGAGCAGAGAACTTTGTGATTATCAGTCAGCGTTGATACCTGAGAATTAGTCTGATGCAAAAGCTTCAGGAAAGCTTTGATTCCAGGCCTGGCCCTGGTGCTTAAAAATAATGATAATAATTATACAATTGCGTGCATATATTGTTTTGTGTAGCTGTGGAGACTTTGTCTTCCTGGTGGCTGGATTCCTCCTTTTGGAGAGGAAGCTGTGGTGACACACACTGCACTTCCACATTTGTGTGAGCAGAGCATCCTTGTGTATGTTAAGGTTGGGCTGTGTGAATTCTTCAGGATAGTTTCCTATGGGCCTTCTGGGGTCGTTGCCCAGGTCTGTCCAAAGCACACCTGTGCAGAGGCACCTGAATGCTTGGGACTTGTTTGAACTGCCAGGAAAGCTGCCTCCCAGTTATGCCTCAGACTGGTCTGGGGATGCTGAGGGGCCCAGGAAGGGCATGGATGCACTCTGCAGTGGGTGAGGATCTTACCAGACTCCTTTTGCTTCCAGGTGGCAGAGGCTATGAGGCAGATGCAAGAAAAGAAGAATGTTGGAAAAGTCATCCTGGTTCCTGAAGCACCCAAGGAAGAATCTAAAAAAGCAGAGAACTAAGGAGAAGAGATGTTGCAGATTATGAATTCATGATTTAACTCCCTGATCTCTTTGGGACCTGGAAATGGACAGATCAGTATCTTCCATCTTTCACCAGTACAAGAACATCATGGTTATCATTCAGATGAGGTTTGCATGCTCTTGTTGTGACTGACCCTTTGCCAGATATGCCTCCTGCTCTCTCTTTTGGAGCCTGTTTATTTCATACTGTTTTCTAACTACTTGTTTCTCCGCTGAATTTCCAGACTAATCTTATTTTTCTCTGGCAGTGAGGCTCAACCTTCCAAGCAGTTGGTGACTAACAACTGCACAGCCTGTCACTGTAAAGTCATGCTGCAGAGTACTGTAGCAGCTGCCAAATATCTCTGCAGAAACTGAGCCCTGCTGAAGTGTTTGCACTGTCAGCTTTGACAAGCCTGTTCAGCAGAGGATTGGCCAAAAGTAGGATGTTTCCTCCACAGCCAAAGGAAAACCACAGCTGGCCTAGTTTAATTCGAGCAGGGGTTTTTCTTCTGTTCACACTAACCCAGCTCTATTCCCTCTGCTTTTTGTAGACCACTAACACAGCCAGATAGTAACAGCTCATGTTGTTTTTGCCTTGACCCTCCTGGCAATTTGGAGTCTATGGCATATCATATTTCATTTGCAGTAACTTCTCTGTGCAGTCAGTAAATATGCTGACAGGTTGGGCTGGGCTATATCTGACTGCAGAAGAAAAGTTTGATTTACTTAACCTGATCACGTCCATTTTCTATTTCCAAATTGTATAGAGAGGTCTGAGCAGTGTCTGATTCTTAGAGACCATAAGGACTCAACTGTGTCTCAAATGACTGGAACAATTGCTGTTGGCTCTGTGCTTTATTATGTTGGGCTCCAAGCTGGTATTGTTAGGGCTTCACCCTTGTCTTTGTATTTCCAAGGGCTGCAATATTGAATTGGACTTGATTGAGATGGAAACAAAATAGTTCCTGTTAATGCTTTTTGCAGTGCCCTGTGCACTGAGGAGGTGTTGCAGTTTTTGGGAAATAACTTTCAAAAGCCAGTCCTGTGGGCTGGCTGCCCAGTAGCCTGGGCTGGCTCTCCCTGTGGCACACTGGTTAGTAAAGCTGTTACCAGCTAGATGATGAACAGCCCAGCTGTGTGTCAAGCCTCTTGACCTGCACATTCTGAGCAGTTTTCTGTTGTGTCCTAACTCATTTGCTGCAGCAGGGCTTGACTCTTCTTCCCCTGAATCTGTGTCTTGGGGCTCCAGCACTGAGGGTTTAGGAGCTGCCTGGGATGCTCCTCTATATACCAGAGCTATGTTTCTCTTCTACTTTTTTTCCTTGTGTGTATTTGGAAACAGAGCTATGTAGAGACCCAAGCCCAGCTCTGTGAGCACCGTGAGTCCTGGGTGATGCTGTTCTTCCCACTGGACCGTGTTTGCAGCCCTGGGCAACTCTGGTGCTGTTGGTGCTTACTTGTCATGGATTGAGGTGTGGTGGGATTTTGGGCTTCATTTTGGATTTGAAATGGTAAACCCAAGGGCACCAAGAAGAGCTGCCCATCATGGAAGAAGTCCTGCTCCAGAAGCAAAACCTTGAGACTAGAATCCTGCTTAACTAGCCCACAGGGAGGGCCCAGGGCCCAAGGAGGGCAGGTACCCACTGGGCACAGGGCCAGGCACGCAGCCCCACCACCACCCAAGAGAGCCCACACCACACGGGCTGGGGTTCCTCTCTGGCTTCTCCCTCAGCCTGCTCCAGTGGGACTCCTGTCTGTCAGTGCAGCTCGTGGTTTAGGTGCTTGGGCTCAGTCAGAGTTCTTTAGAAATGCATAGGCACAGCTTCCAGGGGTCTTGCCCTGGCTAACTTTAAATATTGTGACAACCCTGTTCTCTATAACCTCAGAGGAGTGCTGGAGTCCTCTCACAGATCCTTGTCAGTTCATCTCTTGAACTTCATAAACACAGGCTGATGGAACTCTCAAGCACAACTTTTTACCTTTCTGAATCCAAAATCTTGCTGCTTCTTTCAACCTGCCCTGTCATGCTACTTTAGATTGAATCCAACAGTGTCTAATGCTGCTTTACCAAATGTGAGAACAGAAGGACTGTCTAAATTGCTGACACAGAAAGTCTGCACCCGTTCCTCTGAGAAACTGGACTTCACCTTGATGAAAGGCACACAACCCTGCACATCTTCTGGCTCTGCACGATTGTAAAAGGGAAAGCTGTTATGGTGTGTTTCATAGTAACATCCTCTCCCTGCTTTATTCTGAGATTTGTGCTCAGTGCCTTACGTGGATGGCCTCGGGTCAGGCAGTGTGGCAGGGTTCTCACAGAACCCTCTGCCCTGCTGCCTCCTCTGTGCCACAGGAAACAGCATCTCGGTGC